GGGGTTTGTTCCCATGTCTTCCAGGCCAGGATCTCTCCACTGGAGAGAGAGACAGGGAAGGGGGATTAGGAAAAAAGGAGAAATAGAGAAGAAAAAGGAAATGGCACGAGAGAAGAGAGAAAGGTGGGTACACTGGAAGTCGAGGAGGGGGAAATGTGAGGAAAAGGGGCAGTGGAGAGACTTGTGTAGTGGGATTCCCAGCTGGTGCAATATAATGGAGTGTTGCATTTTGCTTTCAGCAAAATCCCAGTGTGCATCACCAGCTGTCAACAGCCTTGCAGAGGGCTAAGTGGTGCCATTTGCAGCTGCTGGGTGGGGAACCCGGCCTTCCTGTGTCCAAATCTGCAGTGTCATCTTTGCTGACTCCCCTTCCTGCCCCCTCCAAGCCTGCACCTCATTTCTCCTCTCAAGCCTCTCTTCCTCCGTGCACATCTGACAATACAACAAATGACATGCTGTCTGCTCCATGCCGGCTCACACATATGAGCCTGCCTGCCTCTCCAGGGCATCTGCCATGTGCCAACAGGGCGAGCCAGGCAGGTGAGATTTCTCTGACTGCTGCGTAACAAGGCTCAGCAGGTGCAGCGCTTTCCGCAGGAAGGGGCATGGAGGACAGTGTATCTTTTGATGAGCCAGCAGGGCCATCAAAATGGTGTCTCAGAAGCAGTGAGGTGCAGATGAAACGGAAGGAGGAAAGATGTAGTTTGACATCTAAGGGAGAAATCCTCCTGTCTCTGGGGACTTGTCTATACTAAAAATGCTACAGCGGCACAGCTGCACCACGGCAGTGCTTCAGTGTACACACTGCCTATGCGCATGGGAGGGATTCTCCTGTCAGCATAGGCTTTCCATCTCCCTGAGAGGCAGTAGCTAGGCTGATGGAAGAATTCTTCCAGTGACCTAAAGCTGTCTGCATGAAGACGTAGGTGAGCTTAACAGCATGGCTCAGGAGTATGGATTTTTCACATCTCTGCCGACCTAATTTTCTAGGGTAGACCATGTTCTCTGTCTCTCTTTTCTTGCCTCTTTATTTTCTCCTCACCAGGACTACTGGCTGCTTGTAGTGGGAGTGGGTGAGTGGAGAGGGAGGCTGATGTGCGGATAATCCGATTATACCAAATACAAAGGATAGATTTCTTCAGATGCTGTGAATGCTTTTAGCCTGCTTTATTTCCTCTTCTCTCTCTCCTTTATCCCTCCTCCTAATGAATGGCATCCATTTTACCTTCATAAACTTTGGGTGGTTCAAGCTCTCACTCTGCCTTCCTACTGCTGGGATAGGACCTCTTTCTACCTCTTTCCTTTGTGTCCATTTCTTTCTTGTTCCCTCTTCGTATGCACAGGGCATCACTGCCTCTTTCTGTGCCCCCTGCCTCTTTTCCTCCCAGTCTGTGTCTTGTCTGTTTAGAGCGTAGGTTCTTTAAAGTAGGGACACTTTCTACTTGTGTTTGTCCAATGCCCAGTGCAGAGGGTTCCTGATCTATGCTTGATGTCTCTTTAGATATTACTATAATTCAAGTAAGTAGTAGTAAGAGAAGGAATTTTTCTCCTACCCTTAACCTGCCCTGTATGCTGGAGGCAAACCTCTGTGAAGCTCTAGTCTGGGAACAGATTTTGGTTTAAGTTCACCAAAACGCTATGCCAGCACAGACATTATTGTAAACCGTTAGTGGTACAAACCTCACCTATAAAAGTGCCTGCAGGAGTAAAACACGCCCACCAGAAGGCCTTAGGCAAGTTAATGCAAATGCAAAATGCAAAAAGTGGTTGTTGTAGGACTATGGCCAGTCTCCCTGAGGATGTGCTTATTTAAGGTGTGTCTTGAAGGAAGTTTTGGAACAAATTGATAAACTAAACAGTAACAATTCACCAGGACCAGATGGCATCCACTCGAGTTCTAAAAGAACTCAATGTGAAACTACGGAACTACTAACTGAGGTTTGTAACCTGTCTTTTAAATCCTCTTCTGTACCAAATGACTGGAAGATAGCTAATGTGATAGCAATTTTTTAAAAAGGTCTCTAACCCTGACAATTACAGACTTGTTAGTCAAACTTTACTACCAGGCAAATTGGTTGTAACAAACAGAATTGTTAGACACATAGATGAACATAATTTCTTGGGGGGAAAAGTCAGCATGATTTAGGTAAAGGGAAATCATGACTCGCTAATTCTCTAGAATTCTTTGAGGGGGTCAATAAGCATGTGGATAAGGAGGGTCCAGGGGATATAGTGTTACTTATATTTCCAGAAAGCCTTTGATAAGGTCTCTTACCAAAGGCTCTAAAGTAAAGTTAGTTGTCATGGGATAATAAAGATTGATGATTGTTTGATGACTATGTCAATCCTAATGGATTAATAACTAGTTAATTTATTGCTACCCTTTGTTTCCTATCTTTTATCAGTTTTCAGAATGGGGTCAGTACTGGAACCAGTCCTATTCAGTATATTCACAAATGATCTGGAGAAAGGGGTAAACAGTGAGGTGGTAAAATTTGCAGATGATACTAAACTGATCAAGATAGTTAAGTCCAAAGCAGACTGTGAAGAGCATCAAAAGTATTTCACAAAACTAGGTGGCTGGGCAACAAAATGGCAGATGAATTTTAATGTCGATGAATACAAAGTAATGCATAGTGGAAAACATAATCCCAACTATAAGCACAAAATGATAGGAACTAAATTAGCTATTACCACTCAAGAGAGAGATCTTGGAGTTATTGTGGATAGTTCTCTGAAAACATCCACTGAATGTGCAGCAGCAGCCAAAAAAGCAAACAGAATGTTAGGAATCATTAAAAAGGGATAGAGAATAAGACGGAGAATATCTTATTGCCTCTATATAAATCTATGGTACACCCACAACTTGAATTCTGTGTGCAGATGTTGCTTCATCTCAAAAGAGAGATGTTGGCATTGGAAAAAGTTCAGAAAAGGGCAACAAAACTGATTAGGAGTTTGGAATGGCTGCTATATGAGGAGAGATTAATAAAACTGGGACTTTTCATCTTAGAAAAGAGGAGACTCAGAGGGGGGATATGATAGAGGTGTATAAAATCATGACTGGTGTGGAGAAAGTAATAAGGAAGAGGTATTTACTTTTTCTCATACCACAAGAACTAGGAGTCATCAAATGAAATTAATAGGTAGCAGGTTTAAAACAAACCAAAGGAAGCTTTTCTTCACACAACACACAGTCAACCTGTGGAACTCTGACAGAGGATGTTGTGAAGACTGAGACTTTAACAGGGTTAAAAAAAAGAACTAGATAACTTCATGGAGGTTAGGTCCATCAGTGGCTATTAGCCAGGATGGGCAGGATTGGTGTCCCTAGCCTCTGTTTGTCACAGGTTTGGAATGGGTGACAAGGGAGGGATCACTTGATGACTACCTGTTCTGTTCATTCCCTTGGGGCACCTGGCATTGGCCACTGTTGGTAGACAGGATGCTGGGCTACATGGACCTTTGATCTGACCCAGTATGGCCATTCTTATGTCTCTGGTGGTACTGGGGATGTAATTTGGAGCTCAGGGGCACATACACTCACTAACTCTGATCAGGTTAGCATGCTATGAATAGAAATGGTAGGGGGGCCTGCCACACAAGTATGTGTGGTCTCAGGATCTCAGACAGCGACTGTCCCCTCCCTCTGCTCTTGCTATTGTGGCTACACTTGATCAGAGCTAGCATGGTCTGTTTGTGTGAGCCAGAAATTACACCTCTGGCTCCGTTGTGCAGGTGAAGCCCAAGGTGTAGCCCAAGATAGGCTTCTCTAGCTACTGGTTCTCGCGGCCCTGGATGGAAGTAAAATTGCCCTCCTCTGTCCAAGGATGGCAATGCAAATATTGACTACCCTCCTCCTGTGGCCCATTTGGGGATCAGATTCCCAGGGAACCTCTTTTCCTTCTGCCCTTGTGGGCTGTGAACAATGACTTTCAAACTGTGTTTAATTACAAATAAATATGATCAGTTCTTCAAACATTTGCTAATTGGTAAAATTATGAGTACTTTAAATTAGTCCCTGGCTAGACAAACTCTCGCCTCTTATAGCAAAAGTTACTGAGTGGCTACGTGTCCACTGGCCCCAAATTCCGGAAAAGGCATGCAAAGCAGGTAAGTCAGAATAGGGAAATCCGCGGGGGATTTAAATATCCCCCGCGGATTTAAATAAACATGTCCGCCGCTTTTTTTCCGGCTTGGGGAAAAGCCGGAAAAAAGCGTCTAGACTGGCGCGATCCTCCGGAATAAAGCCCTTTTCCGGAGGATCTCTTATTCCTACTTTCAGGTAGGAATAAGAGATGCTCTGGAAAAGGGCTTTATTCCGGAGGATCGTGCCAGTCTAGACGCTTTTTTCCGGCTTTTCCCCAAGCCGGAAAAAAAGCGGCGGACATGTTTATTTAAATCCGCGGGGGGTATTTAAATCCCCCCTTTTCCCCAAGCCGGAAAAAAAGCGGCGGACATGTTTATTTAAATCCGCGGGGGATATTTAAATCCCCCGCGGATTTCCCTATTCTGACTTACCTGCTTTGCATGCCTTTTCCGGAATTTGGGGCCAGTGTAGGCGTAGCCGATGTGTTTAATGTGCTGAAACACAAACCAGCAGTGTTTTATTTCAGCATAATTCATGTACTGACACTCCGCTTATAGGCGATTAATAGTGCATCATGCTCTTCTTTAGTGACCTTCTCTATGTATGTGATGTTTCTCTCCCCAGCATTCATAAATATACCCTCAAACCACTCTTGATCTTTTCTCATGCTAAGAGGATGGAATTCTCTGTTCTTCCTGTTAACTCATTTGAGAGCTGCAGGTGGAAGGTCAGAAGATTTTTTTGGAAGAACTTAGAGTATTTGAGATGGTTCGTAGAGCAATGGATCCTGGGTCACCAGCCTGTAGCTTCTTGTACTGACTTATCTTCCTGTTTGACATCAGTAGACTATGCTTGGCAGCCACAATACAAACTAATATTGAATTGAGAAGTTTTATTGAATGTAGGGAGCATGTCTGACATATACCTGAAGGAAAAATGCAAAAGCTACAAGTGTAAGTTAACCAAAATAAAGAAATAAAAATAAAGAAGAGCAAAAGTTATATCACATTAGAAGGCAAAACAATACTATTACGATGAAGCAGTATTCTTCAAAAGGAGCGAGGGCTTCAGAGTAATCCAGGCTGGAATTTTCAATGCAGAACCCGTCTGCTCCCTTAAAAATTCCAGCATTAGTATTTGAGCAACCAGAAAGTCACATGTTGTTCCATAATTTGTGTAACAGAATCCTAAATAACATAAGAATTAATTGAGGTTATCAATTCAATTTTCATGGTACAAAAGAGTTCCATATCATATAATTTCTTCAGCAGTTATGAAGGCCGCAGCATCTCTGTATTCTGCAAAAATAGCAAGCAAGGAAAATCATGACAGATAAAATACGGCATTTCCTACATCCCAGTACCATCAGGTGACTTTCCATTATTGTGCAGGAAGACCGACACACTAGAATTTTTGTAGTATCCCTGCAATGTCCTTATCTTCCTTGATGGCTCCTATTGATTCTCTCATGGACTTTCTGCTTCTGATAATCTGAAATAATTTTTATTGGCTATTTTCTCTTTACATTTGCTCTTAGCCCTCCTGATTTTCATATTCTGTTTTACCTGCTGTAGCTTTTGTTCCTTTCCTTTGGCATCACTTGGATTTCCACTTTTTGACCTTGCCATTATCCATGTTAGCATGTGTTGTATTGTTTGTTTAGAGGCATACAGGCTGCCTCCTTCTCTAATATACTCCACTGAAACTAAGGCCTTAAATTTAAATGGATGAACTTTTGTCTTTAGCTTACTGTACATTCCATTCCACAAAGATGTAAAGCTTAGCTACAGTATCATGTCAAAATATATTAATGGCTCAATTCCCAGGTTTAGGATTGTCTCAAGAATAGCCTCCGTACTCTTATATTTGAGAACTAGCATTTCCAATCATTTATGATATTGTCAGAACTTCAGTGTTTTCTGACTCACTGAGGTCAAGAGTTTCTCATCTAGCCACAACTCCAGGCTCTTCAGTTCTCTTTCAGACATTGGACACTAACTTTTGTGTTTCCTTTATCCATTGAGGCTAAGTCTAGATCAAAAAAGCATCAAAAGTGCATCAAAAAAGCGATCTGCTTTTTCAAAAGAGAGCTTCCAGACTGAACGGACACTCTCTCGCATGTAAGCTGTGATTACTACGGACGGAATGGCCACCAGGGCACCTGTGCTTTTTCCTCTTTCCTCATCTTCTGAAAGAACTCCCTCTTCCCTGTCCACACACGCCTTTTTGCGAAAGTGCTCTTTTGCAAAAAGGTTTCTTCCTCCTGAATCACCAGCAGTATCACTCCTTGGAGACTCATGTATAGTTCTGCCCATCCCCCTTGGACCTGCCTTTAGAACCTCATCCTCTTGTTCTAATCTTCACCCCAGCTCTGCCAATCCATTTCATTCTTGCAGCATTTATTTCAGCATAAACTTGGTAATTAACTATGGCCCTGGAAAGCCAATTAATAGTGCCTAAAATCATAAATTGTAGTAGATCTAAGGGAAGAGGGCATAAAACACATAATAAAAAACTAATATGGTAAAAAAGAAGCCATGTTGGTGAAGGGAAGAATTTTTTGAAGAAAATATCAACAACAATGGCAGTTATCTAATACCCTTTCTTAGTTATGATTTGACAGCCAAAGTGAGAAGAAATAAGCAGCACCAAGCACTCAGGATATGTCTGCATTACAGAGTTTTGTCGGGAAAACAGCTGTTTTCCCGACAAAACTCTGTAATGCAGACATATCCTGAGTGCTTGGTGCTGCTTATTTCTTCTCACTTTGGCTGTCAAATCATAACTAAGAAAGGGGATTAGATAACTGCCATTGTTGTTGATATTTTCTTCAAAAAATTCTTCCCTTCACCAACATGGCTTCTTTTTTACCATATTAGTTTTTTATTATGTGTTTTATGCCCTCTTCCCTTAGATCTACTACAATTTATGATTTTAGGCACTATTAATTGGCTTTCCAGGGCCATAGTTAATTACCAAGTTTATGCTGAAATAAATGCTGCAAGAATGAAATGGATTGGCAGAGCTGGGGTGAAGATTAGAACAAGAGGATGAGGTTCTAAAGGCAGGTCCAAGGGGGATGGGCAGAACTATACATGAGTCTCCAAGGAGTGATACTGCTGGTGATTCAGGGGCATTTACCTAGCTGTTTGGGGATTCCAGGAATGAAATAGCTGGGGGAATGGTGCTGCTGATCTGAAGTGGCTTGAATCACCATAACTATGTGGGGGAAGCTTGCAGAATCTAGGTCTGCTCCTAATCAGCACAATATGTGACTCACTCACAAGTACTAAAACAGCAATAACAATAAGGCAACAATATAAGGTAAAGGAATAATTAAAAATAAAGAGGAAAACATTGCAGGTGAATATTCTTCCCGCCCTGCACTCATCAATGAAAGGAACACAACCAAAAAGCTAGGGAGGAAAATTTGTGGAAATGACAATATGATTCATACCATGCACCATAACAGCATCACAGAAAGATGTCAACAAGCGTTGGCTAGAATTCATAGAAGGGGAACCAAAATGATTAAGGGAAATGTGAAATGCGTGTCTTGGCTAAATGATAATAAAAAGAGACATGCATACATTCTCCAATACTAGGTAGGGATGGGGATTGTTCAGTGTGACCCCAAAGGGTATGGGATGAAACTGACCAAGGAGCAAATGTAGGTGGAAACATTTCCTGCAGGTGGGATGTATGGGTAAGAATTTAAGAGCTTAAAAACATAAGAATGGCCATACTGGGTCAGACTAAAGTTCCATCTGTCCTAGTATCCTGTCTTCCATCAGTGGCCAGTGCCAAGTGCCCCAGAGGGGATGAACAACACTGGTAATCATTAAGTGATCCATCCCTTGCCATCCATTCCCAGTTTCTGGGCTCTTGTTCTAGTAAGGACCTGCTAAATAGAAAGTTGATTTACCTCCAGTACTCCTCAGAGTTGTGAGGAGTAAGGAAAGTCACTGGCCACCTACCTCCCGCTGTGGTGCCACCCCAGAAATTCGATTTAAGGTATGAGCAATTCTCGTAGCTGGAGTTGCGTCTCGTAGCTGGAGTTGCGTATCTTAAATCAGTTTTCTTACCCAGTGTAAATTTGGCCTGAGATTCCCACACAGCATAAGGCAAGGTAGGATATCAGAGCGAAATTGGGCCATTTAGGAGATAGACAGACCATTTTTTGGAGAAGGAGATTTGTAGGCGTGTCTCTTTGATGCACTGTGCACATGTTTTTTCTGTCTTGTTCCATATCTAAGTATCTCCCTCCTGTGCTAATAAAAATCCTGTGCTGATTTTGCTCCCAAACAAATAATTCCATCTATTTTATCTGTCTTAGGCACCTTGGTTGTTATCCAACTTTTCGATCACCTTGATATCTCAGCCTAATATCTATGTCTATATTTATCTCTCAATTCTCTTACATTTTGTGGGATGCTCTCTCCTCCCTTGTCTTCCTCCTTATCTCTCTGACCCTGGATTTCTCATTGGCACACTGCAGCTTGAACTGACATTTTTACATGGCACTTTCTGTTGGAGAAGAGGAGAGGTGCCTGTGCATGATGGACAGTGGAAGTGGATCCCGCTGGAGCTGTATCTGTGTATGCAGTGGAGTTCCAGAAGGAATTCACCAAGATCTGAACCCTTTGAATTGGCTTTCGTGTTGCTGGAAGCCCTCCATGATCTCCTCGGACATGTACTCCTCATGCAACCCACCTCCTGTCTGCTGGGTCCCAGGTTTGGGATGAAGTAAAGTCCTGGTGGTCAGGAAGGGAACCAGTGGTAAGCTACATCAAATTGAAGAGAGGCAGGGAATCATCACAATGGAGGGGTGTGAGAAACACTGTCCTGGGCAGAAAGATTTGCAGGAGGGCCAGGCTTTGAAACTGTGACATTCCAGTGACACATAGCAGCAGAGATCTGACTAACTGGCCAGCTAAGTCAGGGGTGTAGCTGCTGCTTTGCTTCACCCAGGGGGTGCAGACCAGCCAGAATGTACAGTCTGTACAGTGCTTTGGGGAGCCCTGGGAACATGAAGCCAGGAAAACTAGTAATAAAACCATTATGGTTTGAATAGCTTCTGTGATCTGCTAAGCCTCAGTCCAGTGGTGAGCAACCTGTAGCCCGAGGGCCGTGTGTGGCCCATCGGGGTTCTGTGTGTGGCACACAAGACATTTTGTTTACTGTGGTCCATGATTCCACTGGTTTCTGTCCACATAGTTTTTTTCCTACTAGTATTGCTAAAGTGACACAAGGACATGTGAAGTGAGGTGCGTGTTGATCGCACACATTGCCTGTAAGAGCCCTGTGCTCCCTCTACATCCAAAGCGCTTCTGTGGTTCAGTCAGCACATCCTGCAAATTCTAGGTACACAAGGGCAATTAGCCAAGATATCCTATCCTAGGAGACCACCTTGGTTAGAATAAACCTGGGGCCTACTGAGATAAACAAGGGCCACTCCTGTGGCCCACTCATTACCCTAGGTTGCCCATTGCTGCTCTAGTCCCTGCCAAGGAGAGAAGCATCAGGACATTTGCTGATTAGGCCTTAATATCGATGAACTGACTATCCCATGATATGGCCAAGTGGGTGCTGGCTGGGATGCACAGAAATAAAGAATGATCAGATGCAAATCACTCCCATGAGAGCCTGAATTCTTGAGAGTGAGTGTGTGTGTTTGAGGGGTGAATAATTCCTGTCCTGTTTGGGTGGCACCATTTCTTTCTCTTTTGGTGAGCTACCTTCCCTTCCAATCCATGTCTCCTGGATGCCAGACTCATTGTATATATGTCTCCAACTCTCTGACATTTGAGCTAAGAGGGCTGCTCCTTGCATAAGAATTGGACTGATGGTATATGTGCATACACCTCTGCCCATTACTGAACGCCTTTATCAGTTTGTTGTGGTCTTGCTTCCCCAGTGGCTAACTATTACTGATGGTAGTAGGGGCACACCTTCATCTGTCTGGGCACAGGCTTACATTTTGTAGCCCTCAGTTGGGAAGGTGTCTCAGGTGCAGCCTATCAGGCAGAGCTGGTGCTGTTGGAGATGTGCTGTGTGGAAGTGTGCCCACATCATCACTCCTCAGCATCTGAGGTGTGAAGGGCTTTGTTTAGCACTCTTACCGCCCCCAAGCTTTTCTCGTGGCTGCTTTTATTCTGCCACAATCTTCATTAGCCTTTTCTGTTGCAGAGAGAGGAGTATCAGTTTGTTCAGGGTTTGTAAATCCAAAAGGGAAATTGGAAATGTTTCAGTCTTGTGTATATTTCAAATTTTCCTTGTAGTTTACAGTGCTAGACATACAGGATCCTATTACATAAAGATGTTTCTTGCCTTCAGTCCAAGGCACAGTGCCTGTTCTTGGCACCTTCCTTCTAATTTTATATTCTCCTTGGTGAATAGTTGTATCTACAGCTTTACTCAATTTTAGCCTAATAATATCACTTGCTGCTTGGCTTTTTAAAGGAGAAGCATCCCTTTTTGCATTTTTCATCTAACTTTAGTTATGCCTTGAAACCAGTTCAGTCACCTGAAGCAATGGCAACCCAATGACATTTAGTCTACTAGAATTGGGCAAATCTCTCTACTTTTGTTTGTTCAGCTCAGTCAAAAGTCAAGGGACCAAAATCTGGTCCCACTGAGGTCACCTGACAGAGCTCTAGTTGGCTGATTTGAGACCAAGCCAGGGACCTAGATGTTCATTTTTGGTTGGAAATGAAGGCTGTAAATATCACGAGAACTGGCTTTTTCTGACCAGGTGTCACTTCTGGTTTTCAGTGTTTCAGGCTAAGTTAGAAATACCAGAATGTTTCAATAAACATGGTATTTTTGGTGCTTTCATTTCCCACCAAAATCAGGGTGCACAAATGTGCGTATGTATACATAAACACTTAAGACAGGGGTGGACAAAAGGGCCTCCGCTGGCCAGATCCAGCCCGCCAAGCGGGTGGATCTGGCCTATGGAGGCCCTTCTGCTTTCCTGCCCCAAGGCCAATTACGGTCTGGGGGCGGGAGAGCGCACGAAACCTCTTCCCGCCCTGCCAGGAGCACATGGCGCTATGACAGGGCAGGGGCAGAGTGGAAAAGGCTTCACACAATCCCCTGCCCCTAATTGGCCTTGGGGTGGGGGAGTGCATGAAGCCTCCTCTCGCCCTGCCAGGAGCACGTGGCGCTTTGAAGTGCCGTGCACTGCTCAAAGGGTGTGGGGGGAAACAGAGTAGGCTTCACGTGCTCCTCTGCCCCCAGGCCCTAATTGGCCCGGCGGCAGGGGAGCGAGCGAAGTCTTCTTCCACGCCAGGGGCATGGGAGCCTTGGGGAAACTTGGGGTGGGGGCAAAGACTCTCTTCCTTCCCCAGACCAATCATTATCTGGGGGTGGGGAACCCAGAAATATCTTGGCCCCACGCCTTCCACTCGATGCCCTGCCCCTTCCTGTGCGGCCCAGGGTCACCTCAAAAATTTCCAAAGTGGCCCCCAGCAAAAAATTATTGCCCACCCCTGGTTTAAGAGCACAGATGCCTACTTCTGATTTCCATGAAGGTGCTCAACCTCCCCTCAGCCTCAGCCCCACTGCATCCCTTCCCCAAAGCACACACCTTTTCCTGCC